AATACATAATTTACAACTGCGCATTGTTGATCAAGACGGTCAATTGGTAAATTGACGTGGTGAAACTGTAACAATACGTTTACATTTGAAATCAGTCACGTGATGGGGATTGTTTATAAACCCATAGTAGGGGAAAGCTATAAAACTAACATATCATGCCTGAATCCCATCAGTTATTGAAGAAAACTCAAACGATTGACTTATCAAAATCGATTATTTCTACAAAGTCTGTGACTAAAATACGCAAAAGTGCAACAAAATTGAAGTGAAAGTGTGTTGTCTTGCATGTGTTTTACCATGGAAGAAGAAAAATTAGCAATAAGCAAAGGTGTCATATTTGATGAGTCTATTGAACACATTGAGGTGCATGCTCATCAACCATATGCATCTAAAACATATAACAATAATGATGAGATACATATCTCAGTTCAACATCAAGATTTATGTCTGTTGCCAAGCGAAAGTCCTCTTCATATTACGGGGAAATTTACAAAATCTAACTGAAATGCAGTAGCAGCAACATCAAGATTCGTTAATTTGGCCGTATGCTATTTATTTGAAGAAATACGATATGATTTGAATGGTGTTGAGATTGATCGAAATAAAAATGTTGGTCTTACAAGTCTCATGAAGGGATATCTATCTCTTCATGCAGGTCATAAAAATTATTTAGATAATGCAGGTTGGGTAACTGATAATGAAAGATTATTTAATGATAATGAATACTTTGATGTTTCGAGACCGTTACATATGCTATTGGGATTTACTGAAGATTATCATCACATAATTGTCAATGCCAAACATGAATTGATACTTACTCGTTCAAATACCGATCTTAATGCAATTGTACAAGCTACAGCGGAACCTGAAGAGACGATCATGCTTATAAAAATTGAATGTATAATTCCTTATGTCACTGTTGCAGACATAAAAAAAGTAGAATTGTTAAGTTACATTGCAAAAGACCTACCAATTCCAGTGAGTTTCAGATCATGGGAATGATATGAATATCCAATGCTGCCGAACACAACCAAACACGTATGGGTCGTAAAAACATCAACTCAACTGGAAAAGCTCACGCTATGTTATATTAGGATTTCAAACTGCACGCAAAAATGATGCTACAAAAGATGCAAGTCATTTCGATCATTGTGATTAAAGGGATGTAAAACTTTTCCTCAATTCACAATGCTATCCATATGGCAACATGAATCTTGACATAAATCACAATCAATTTGCCTTATTATATGATATGTATAGAGATTTCAAAACATCATATTATGATAAAGAAGCAGAACCTCTACTCACGAAAAAAAAATATAAAGATATAGCACCACTCGTTGTAATTGATTGTTCTGAACAAAATGAATCCTTAAAATCAGGACCAGTTGATATTCGACTGGAATTTGAATCATCAAATGCACGAAAAAGATTACTGTTTTCATTCATTTTTTTCCAGAAAAAACCCGATAGTCGGTAGCGCAAATTTGAAAGAATATTAATCCATTGACAAAACTTTGAAAATCAGTTATTTTTGCTGATAGTGAAATTTTAATCACGGTTGGTAAAAAATCGGTATTATCATTGAAGATAATTTATCGAGGTCGGTAAAAAAAAAATCACAATCAATCGCTGCTGATAATTTATCGCTAAAAAGTTATCACAATCGGTATTATCGCTAAAGATAACTTATCGAGGACGGTAAAAATCGATATTATCACTGTCGATAACTTATCACGGTCGGTAAGTCGGTGACTTATCGTCAAAGTTATCGCGGTCAGTAATTAGTGCGGATCAGAACCCACTTTTTTGACTTGGCCGGTATTGCAGAGTGATCTAGAACCGGCCCTGCTTATCTTCTCGACACCAGGTTTGTAAATTCAGAACCACACAAGGATGTATGAATTTCTGCAGTAGCCAGTTCTGACGTCAGAATTTTCATTAGATTTACGTGCGTCAGCTTCTCTTTTGCATCAGATTGAATCAGAAAATTTCGAACTTATTACACTAGTGGTGGGGGATAGCAAAGTGGGTGGAGTCAAGCTGTGTAAATAGAGCCGGCTTTTCCGCAGTCGGAACACTCGTCTCTGAAGTATAAGACTGACGAGACCAAAGAGAGTTGTAGCTCACGTTAAAAGTCACAGAGTTGTAGCTGTAACTAAAAGATTGTAGCCTTTCAGTTTCCTGGGGGTTGAAAGCTTTCGAAAAAGTAGGGACTGGTAGTCGTAGCCACTAGGAATAATTGCAGAAGCTTATAGCCTGACAACCAGGAGTTGCTGGTCTTGGTTTCAGGTAGCAATCGAAAGTTGAAGCTCACGATTGAGTTCTTGGAGGTGTTGTAGCTCTTCGTCAACGAGTTGGAGCTCGTCAATTTTCCTAGGTAAGGTTGTAGCCTTCCCTCTGAGAGTTGTTGGCTCTCAGAGTACCCCAGGTTGAGTTTTAGCTCATCCGCGTAGTTAATAGGTTTGGGGGTACGAGTTTTGGGTGGATTTTTATGATATCAACTCTCTCTCTCTCTCTCGAGTATAGTAGTAGAATTATTGATCCAATCGATCAATAATTCCACGGTACGTTAAGATGAAGTTTATTTGTAAAACTGGACAATTGGACATTTTTAATAGAATAAATATATGTTATAAATTTTTCATATCATAAAGTTGGAATTAGATTTTAATTTTACGAATTTCTCATTTTTTCGTCATATTTCGGTACTTGTATATGTTATAATTGTTTATTAGATTGTTATCAACATTGATATAGTTTAAGTTGAAAAAGAAGTGTAAGCAATGGGTTTTTATGGGATTCCATTGATTCTGTTAACTATTCTCTATTTTTTAAGTATAATAAATTTTCCCTATTTGGAAGGATTCGAACCTGTGACCGCCCACTCGCACGCAACATAGACCTATTTTTTACCCTATAGGCTATTTTGATACATAATTTTGAAATTGAAAAAAAGCCTACATTAACATATATTTTAGTTACTCGTATAAATATGAAGGCGAATGAAAATAATTGTGTTAATTAGAGTTTAGTTTAGTTGTCGGTAAGAGTTTTTAATTGCTATCAAGTTCTCTGCATAACAGTTTATAACGTTAGTAGAAGTTAGTCTTACTTAAGCACGAATATACAAATAATCGAAGTGCGTACCGAATAGATTTGTGAAAAAAAAAATTATAATTTATCCAGATGCATCATTCGAAAGAGCATCGTTCATTATTAGAAAATTAATTTTCCAGTGACCATAATTGTTATTGGAACTATTTTTTCTATGAACAATTAAAAATTCACCGACCACTAGTGAATGTTTGATAAATCTAACATTCTATTAATAATTGTTCATAAAAAGCCTATAAATTGAAATAAAAAAAATTTTTAATAATTAAAAAATAACGTATTTGTTTATAAAATTTATCTATATATCACGTCTCAGTAACAGAATAGTCTCGTTTTCGAGTCAAGACCCAATCGTCCTCTACTCATCATGGGTGCGGAGACCACGCAGAATATATTTTAGATGGAGATTTAAAGAAATAGGAAAGGTTCTTAGTGCTTCACAAACCACACTGGTGTATTTATTTTTCTCAAAGAAAGATAGAGATTTGTTGTTATGATAGTCAATTCTTTATTTAATTTCTGCCATCTTTTTACTCACTAAATTGTTTTACAGCTTGGCTAACAGGTAGCAGAAAGTTGTATACGAGTGGAGGGCTGTAGAAAAAATATAAATCCAGGTTATAACGTATAACAAATGCTAAGAAAAATTTTAAAAAATTGTTTTGTACTCTTTACATGAAGATATGACACTTTGCTTCACATACTTTTCTGATCAAAAAACTTAAACCCCAAAATAAGGGTAAAAGAATCCAAAAACAACATTTAAATTTTTTCAATGTTAAAAAAAAATGTGTTTTTAAAAACTGAGATAGCCATTTTATAAAGCGGTGAAAATCCTATCTGCTCCTAAATTGGCTATAAACTGTGCCCTTGAACAAAAAAAATATAAGGTTGCAAAGTTCATGAAAAGATTTAAAAAGAATACGTTTCAAATACTATGAATAATCGAAAATTTTTTTTTTCATATTAATTAAAAAATGTTCAGAAAACGATTCTGAATTATATGAAGGCATCCGCCAAAAACAGATATCGTTCGATATCTGTAAGAAAACGGCGCCATGTCACTGTTTGAAAATCCAACTTTTTTAAATTGTTCTACATGCAAAAAATGTTTGAAATCATAAAATTGCGCTAAGTTTGACTTGCTATAATTGCAAAACCATAAAATTGTTTTTACTAATTTTTTAATAAAAAAATTACATAAGTGTGCGTAAGAAATTGTAGATCGAACATTTGATCAAAATACAGTGAAACCTGATTAAGTGAGACATCAAGAGACCTGCAATGTCGTTTCACTTATAGAGGTATTCCACTTACCCAGTGTCTCACATATACAGGTATAAATAAATATCTGTCTCATTTACAGAGGGTTCCATTAATAGAGGTGAAAATACAGGTTATTTCAGTTATACAGGTGCGATCATTAAATAAAATAACGTGTTATGTATGTAAATGAGTTTCAATAAAAAAAAATAGTACTTGAAGGTAATCATACAAATGTAATCAACAAAAATATTCAAGCACGTTTTCACACGTAATATGTACGAATATGGAAACAGAATGTATCAATTATAAAAATCTGACATTTTAGTTTGTCGTTTGGAAGTATCAGCCATCAGATATTTTTAGATGTTATAAATTTTATCGAATATACTTCGGTCACCAATCGATGACATTTCAAAATAACTGTGCAAAGTTTTTAGTGCTTTTACTGCTTTGCGTTTAGAAATTTTTACTAAATTTACTTCCACGCTCATTTCATCGTCTTCTTCTTCATTTTCCAATGAAGAAGACGAGAAGGCATGAAGAATGTCGCTTTCATTAAGTTCTCCTGAAACTATTAAACCGTCATCGACGTTTATAAAATCTTGGAATGTTGGCTGTTAAATATTGTCATTGCTGATGCCTAAGTTCCAATCTTCAGCATCAGTTTCTAAATTTTCGCCCTCCTCTTGTAAGCTTTCAGCTACAGTTACTTCAGATTTAAATCCAGATTTCTTAAAGCAGTTTGCTATAGTAGTTTTGGTCACAGAAAACCAAGCTTTTTTAGCAAACCTCATCGCCTGAAGAACATCGATTTGTGGACACTGATTGTCTTTTATAGATTTAATAACATGTCGAACAACTCCTTATCTGTAATAAATTTTGAAATGGTTGATGATGCCTTGATCCATTGGCTGCAATTTACTTGCCGTATTCGCAGGCAGATACACGAGTTTAATGTGGCTTAGCTCGGGCATATTATTGTGAGCAGTACAATTGTCCACAAACATTAAAATTTTTCCCTTCTGAGCTTTCATTTCTTGGTTTCAAATTCTTCAACCAATCAGAAAAAATAGTGGACGTCATCCATGCCTTTTTATTATTTTGGTAATTCACAGGCAAAGTTTTAGCACCTTTGAAACATCGTGGAGACTTAGATTTTCCGATTAATAGGATAGGCAACTTTTCAGTTCCTGACATGTTAGCACCTAAAAGTATTGTAATGCGCTCTTTACTAAGTTTCCCGCCATGACAAGACTTACCTTTTACGGTAAAAGTTTTATCAGGTAGACACTTATAAAATAAACCCGCTTTGTCTACGTTAAAAATATCATCAGCAGAATAATTGCATAATAGAGCTGGTAGGTCTTCAATCCATTGGCTACATTTGTTAACATCAACAGCGTTACTTTCTCCACAAATTGCTTTGAAAACTATACCGTTTCTTTTCTTAAAACCTTCCATCCAACTATTGCTGCTACAAAAATTATGAATATCGAGCCTTCGCGCGAAATCTTGTGCCTCTTCTTTAATCATCGGTCCACTTACCGGAACGTTTTTGTTACGAAGTGGCTTGACCCAAGTTAGCAAACACTGTTCAAGTTCAGGGTATTCTGATAAACGTACACGTTTTAGTTTTCCTTGTCCTTCAGAACACTGTGATTCAATTTTATGTTTACTCTGAATTATTCTACAAAGAGTAGATTTTGGCACATTAAATTCGGCATAAACTCCTTCGCGTGTCTTCCCACTTTCATAAACGGATATTAACTTCAGTTTTTCACGTAATGATAACGATTGTAGCTTTCGTTTTGGCATATTTCAAATAAACATCTGTATGATAGTAAAGCGAAACTAAAACTGAAGGTAATTGAAGCTCAAAATTTGTACTTACGTACTTGGAATTACGTGTGGAATTTGTGGGTAGAATAAAAATGAGTAAACAAACAATGTTATCTCTGTTACAGAGGTTTATGCATATAAAATTTACTCGCTGTCTCAGTTATAGAGGTAACTATGATGATAAATCGAAAGAACAAACCCCAGATATAGAGGCTTACCTCGTCCCACTAACAGAGGTAATTCAGTGCCAAAGCGTTGGGACCTCAGCATGAGTTCCAGTTATAGAGGTTTCTCACTTATCCAGGTCCCACTTAACCAAGTTTCACTGTATTAATAAAAATTTGATAGAATAAATCTTATTCAGAATTTCCCTTTAAGTGTTTAGAGTATCTCACTATAGCTGCCATCATCAGATGAAAGTGAAAATTTGCGCCATGTACACGTCCCAAATGACTCTGTAAATAACCAAATTCTCATTTTTAAAAATTTTGAAACACCAAAAAAGTTTGAAATCAATTGGAGTGCTATGTCATCTATAAAATTAAGTCTTTTTTTTCGTTACTTTCGATGAATTGTGTAAGAAAATTCCTTTTCAAATTTTCTTGAAATAATTTAAGAAGTAATTTTGTAGATGAAAATTTACGATAAATTAAAAAACAATTGATAAAAACCATTCTATAGTTTTGCAATTTTGGCAAGTCAAACTTGGCGCAATTTTATGATTTCAAACATTTTTTGCATGCAGAACAATTTAAAAATATCCAACAACAGTGACGTAGCGCCGTTTTTTTTACAGATATCGAACGATATCTGTTTTTGGCGGATTATCATATAATCCATTTAAAAAAAATTTTTAAATTGCTATAAACAATGAAAATAGGAATCTATGCTATATATATGAGTACTTTTAACGCATAATTTTTTCTTTTACTAAAAAAAATACTACCAACTGTATGACATAAATGAAAACGTGCTTTCTTTGTTTATAACAATAAAATTTGTTGTAAATAATGAAGAAAAAGATCTATGAGGTATATTCGAATTCTTCTAACGCATAATTTTTTCTTTTACTGAAATGAAGTAACTAACCATTTCAAATGAGTAAAAACAGACTCATTCCGTTTGTAACAATTGCATTTGTTATAAAGAATGAAAACGGGTTCTATTCGAATTGTTTTTTCATTTTTTCCACTGGGAAGTTGGTCGTGTAGACCTTTTGGGTCGCACCCAGACCACTGCAGAGCACTGATATTTATATTCATATAATAGAACTTTTTCGAAATTATCATCAGTCAATATTCCTCTTCTTTTGGTGAATACACAGCCAGCTACACTAAAGAGACGTTCAACTGGTGCACTACTTGGTAGTGACGGATTATCTTCCGAGGAAATGACTTCGACATTTTATCACGCCACATACATTGAACGCCTTCACAAAGTTGCTGCCATTATCCGTCGTTGTGGAACAAATTTTACCAATTTTATCAAATTCAATCCAATGGGCAGTGACTCCTAATTAACTTTTTTATGGACAGACGAACAATCAGCTGATGATGCAATGTAGTAAGGTTACGAAAGTTTTTCGAATAAATTTTTACGTATGCTTACTACTTCTGAATCTAGTTTCTTTATAACTGTCGGTCGTTCCATTAGATTTTTCCCTTTAAAACCAGTTTCAATGAAAAAACGAAAATATTCGTTTTCAACAATTCGAAATGGCAGCGAAGCACGAATAATGCAATTAAGTACCATCTTATCAAGTTTGTCTGTAAAAAATGTTAAAATATATCTTTGAATGCCTTTGTCGTTACAGACATTTTATAACTAACAGAGAAACCTCGCGAGGTGGTCACCGTCGATTTAGCTGAGGCTTTTATATAATAATCTACGTCATAAATGATGAACCACGTATTTTTTTCTGCAGAAAAACGTTTTGAAGGGGTCAAAATCACCCCCAAAGTTGACACCCTATAAAGGTGATTTTAATTTTTACATATTTCTAATCGAAATTTTGCAAAACGACCTTATACGTTGAGAACAATATAAAAAATGATGAAAAATACCTTTATTTACATATTTATAAGACATACATATATACATTTTTTTAAATTAAAAATAACAAAAAATCTATAACTCAAAAACTAAAAATTATTCATTGATGGAACCAATTGCAATCGAAAGAGTATAAAAATTTATGAGATACGTGTCTTTGCAATTTTTAAAATAACATTAACGACAGTGAACGAAATCACTACTTAAAAATTTTCAATTGTTACTGATATGGAAATGATGACGGAGAATTCATTCCATTTTGAAGAACCATGTAAGGATTGGGAACCAGAAATTATAGAACACGAAGAATATGCATCTGCAATCCATGAACCAAAAGTGCCTGATGGACCATGTACTACTGATGAAGAGAGCTTAAGTCATGATTATGAACTGCGAGCAGTTAAGTATTGGTGAAGTGGTAAGAAAAAGAACTTAAGTATCGATAGTGTTAAGCAAAAATTTAGGAAAGTACAGTCTACTCGAAAATTAAAACGCTGAGCACATCAATTGAATCAAAGTGGAACATACAAATAGAAAATAGCTCAAGTTTTTAAATATACGTTGGAAAATTTTAAAACTCCGATCGATGCTGGGATGATAGTCCATGATTCCGATTTAGGAAAATGGGCAGTATTAGCTAGAAAAAAATTTACAATTTGATGATCTCCGTTTTCAAGCATCTCCAACGTAGATACTATCATTCAAAAGAGCTCATGGTATTATTTCTCGAAAAATTAACAAATTCATATCTTAAAAAATGATTGAAGATCGTAAAATATTAAAACAAACATCAGTAGTGTTCGCTAACGATGTAAAATCGAAAATTCAATCATATGGTTTAGACAACATATATAATTTTGATCACAGTGGCTTTCAATTAGAACTACATTCAGAGAGGACTCTAGCTCTAGAAGGAGAAAGAAAAATAGAGTGTACAGTTCAATCAGTTTCTTCGACAACTCACAGTCATACTATACAACCAACGGTATCAGCTGATAGAAAACTTCTCACTCCTCTTTTTCTTGTGTTAAAAGAACAAACTGGAAAACTTGGTCCACGGGTAGGAGCATCGCTTTTTAGACCAGATAATGTACACGTAGAGATATCAAAATCTCGAAAACTTACTTCAGGTAAAAAATTCAATTTAAATATTATATAATATGATATATTCTGGAAGTTTATACACTCATTTTTTTTAGAGCACTCCAAAATCTGGCTAAAGGATGTATTTTTTCTGGATGTTGAAAAAAATGGTTTACTTTTGTTGATTGGTGGACTGGACATTGTTCTGAACTTGTCACGTCTGCCAAACCACCAGATAAAGAAATTGAGATAATGATTACTCCTAAAGGGGCTACTGGACAAATTTAACTCTGAGATGTTTTTGGGTTTAGAATATGGAAAAACTTTGTAAGACATTTTCCAGACAGTGTTCTATTACGAAGAGATGATTTCAATCTACACTTGAGAAATAATATTATCAAATTACAATCACTGACTCTTTACCAACTCTCGTCTCCGCGAAACATTGATCTTTTTCGTTATTCATAGTTTAAAGGTTATACATTTATTAAACCAGATGAATTTGAAGATCCAGTCGATTTTGCATTTGGAGATAACTGTAAGTCTCATTGTGAAACTCCAGGATGTAAAAATATTGCAATTATCCGCTGTGCATGGTATAAAAAATCATTGTGTCTTGAACATTTTTACAATGATTATCATATATGTAATACGTACAATTGTTGTAATAATAAAATCCATCCCTTCTTTATCGATTGATACATCACTGATGTTAAGTCACACCACTAATATAGAATAGCAAGTCTATGGTTTCTGTCACTTTGTAAAAACTCTCTCAATAAATTACGTTGTTCACATTTTACTTTTATTTAAATATTACATCAGGTTATGGGCCCAGGCCACAGTTCTTCCAAAATAAACAATTTAAAGTAGAAACCAGTTTAAGTAAAGTTGAAAAGACATTTAGTTAAAAATAGTGCGGTATTATAGCCTAAAAGTGACAACGTGACCGTTGAACATTGAAAGCGTCTTCATCAGTAAAAAATGTCTTCGAACAGTGCAATGACTTCAATAGAAAAGCTGACAGGAAGAGATAATTATCCTACGTGGAAGTTCACAGTCAAAACTTACCTTGAACACGAGGAGTTGTGGGATTGCGTGAGCTCAAAGCAAAATGAAGAAGTTGATACGAAAAAGGATATTAAGGCGAAATCAAAAATAATCTTGCTAGTAGATCCTATCAACTACATTCATATTCAAGAGGCTAAAACGGCAAAAGAAGTATGGGATAATTTAGCGAAAGCTTTCGATGACAGCGGATTGACCCGCAGAGTGGGGTTATTGAGAGATCTGATTACCACCACGTTAGATGGATGCCAAAGTGTTGAGGACTACGTAAATAGAATCATGACAACTGTTCACAAACTGAGAAACATTGGTTTTATTGTCAATGATGAATGGTTAGGAACCTTACTTCTAGCCGGTTTACCAGAAGTATATCAACCTATGATAATGGCATTGGAAAGTTCGGGTTTGGCAATATCAGCTGATTTAGTGAAAACGACACTTCTTCAAGATGTGAGAAAATCAGAAACTTCTGCGCTGTATGTTAATAATAAAATTAACTCGCAGAATGCCAAACAAACTTCAAACAATACTAACAAACAAAAGAAAGCCCAAGAGTATAAGTAATAAATTGGGCATAAGAAAAATGTAGAAACAGAAGAGGAACATAAGTCAGATGAGAACTCTGGGTATGTGGCTGTATTTTCTGCTTCTACGAGTAATGACAATGGCTGGTATGTGGACTCAGGGGCATCTATGCATCTATCAATGCACCGAGACTGGCTCTATGATGAAATACCACCTCCGGTTAGTACCATTAAAGTGGCTGATAACAA